CCCATGCGACAGCTGGGTCCTTCATGAAGGGAAACTGGTTTAAAACTTAGGCAATATACCCAGCAACCCTAGAGCACTGGGAGATTCTCTATGTTCTCCCCAGCAAGCTTGTCCCCTGGTCTTGGAAGGCTGGCAGCCACTCTAACCATTTTTAAATGGCGGGCAGGGGCCCAGTATTTGCTTTCATTTGATTTAAAAACGGAGGCCAAAATGCAAGGACAGAGTTGGGGTCCACTCCTATACTCACTCTTCTGATGATTATACCTGCATCCCAGATGGGGCCCCGAAGTGAAGCAGCGTTGTTTGTCTCAGGTAGGTTCATTGTCTCATGTCAAGGAAATCGAGGATGTGGACACATAAGAAGTGAGTTTAAAAGCATAGGTTTAAGAGGTGAGAGAAAAGAAAAAAGCTCTCTGTTCTGCAGAGACAGAGGGACTCTGGAGTGGATCCTTCAGTTCTGTGGTGAAATGCACGGGGTTTCATAGATGAGCTTGAGGAGGTAGAAAGCACGCGATCAAGGCACCAGCAGATTTGGTGTCTGGTAAGAGTCTACTTTCTGATTCTAGATGATCATCTTCTTGTTATAATAATTTAACATGGAGGAAGTAGCAAGGGATCTTTCTGGGGGTGAGAGATCTCTTAGATAAGGGTCCCTATCTTATTAGTGAGAGCTCTGCTTTCATGATCTAATAATCTCTCAAAGCCCCAACCTCCAAATACCTTCACATTGGAGGTTAAGTTTTAATACATGAATTTTTGGAAGGACACAAACTTTTTGACCGTAGTGTATGTGCACACACACACACACACACACACGTATACTTTTATATAGACATGTATATATATGTATATTCTAGTTTTCAACAAGAAAAATATGACACATTAAAAAAACAAAGTATGACCCATACATAGGGAAATAACGCAGTCAGTAGAAACTGTCTCTGGGGAAGCCCAGACTTCAGACTTACTAAACAAAGACTTTCAATTAGCTGTTTCAAATATATTTAAGAAAATAAAGAAAATTATATATAAAGAACTAAAGAAAATTATCAGAATGATGTCTCAACAGATAGATCATTTCAATAAAGAGACAGAAATTATAAAAAAAATGAAAATTCTAGAGGTAAAAAGCACAATAATTGAAATGACAATTCACTAGAGGAACTCAGTAGCAGATTTGAATAGGCAGAATAAAGAATCAGTGACCCTGGGTTGACCAATAGGAATCATCCAGTCTCAGGAGCAGAAAGAAAAAGAAAGGAAGAAACAATGAACAGAACCCCAGAGACCTATTGAGCATTGTCAAACATATATACAATGGGATTTCCAGAGGTAGTGGAAAGAAAGGGGCAGAAAGAATATTTGAAAAAAAATATTGGCTTAGAATTTCTCCAAATATTATGCCTCCAGAAACCTCCTCAAATTCTAAGTAAGATAAATTCAAAGAGATTATGGGATCATAATGAAAATATCAAAAACCAAACACAGTGGGAGAATCTTGAAAGCAGCAAAAGAAAAAACATATCTAAGAGATTCTCATTAGCTAAACAGCTGATTTCTGGTCAGAAATGATAAAGGTCAGGCAGCAGTGGGATAATATATTCAGAGTACAGAAAGGGAAAGATTGTCAACCAAGGATTGCCTGTCCAATAAAATTACCCTTTGAAAATGGAGAAATTAAGATATTCATAGGCAAACAAAAACTGAGAGGCTTTATTGTTAGGAGGTCTTCTGTTTAAGAAGTACTAAAGGGTCCTTCAGGCTGAAATAAAATTCCACCAGACAATAATTTGAATTCACATGAAGAAAGCAAAAGTTCTTGTAAACATAACTACATAGCAAAATATAGAAGACAGTGTTTACATATTTTGGCTTGTTACTTGTTTTCCTCTCATCTGATTTAAAAGACAACTGCATAAAGCAATAATTATAAATATGTGTTGATGGATATGAAATGTGTAAAGATGTAATTTGTATGGCAATAACAATACAACATAGAAGGGAGGAAATAGAACTATATAGGAGCGCTATTCTTACCTACTATTCCGTTTAAGTTGGTGTTAATCAGAACTAGATATAAAAACCTAATCAAATATGTGTTGTCTACAAGAGTCATCCTTTAGATTCAAAGGCCCAAATAAGTTGAAAGCAAAAGTATGAAAAAAATATAAACCACACGAACAGTAAGCAAAGGATAGCTGAATGGTTATACTTTAACTAATAGTAATATCAGACAAAATGAACTTTAAGACATAAATTGCTATCAGAGAGGAAGAAGAACATTTCATAAGGGTATACTAGTCAGTTTACCAAGAGCTGCTTATAAACAACAGAAATTTATTTCTTACAGTTCTGAAGGCTTGGGAAGTCCAAGATCAAGGCATTGGTAGATTTGGTATGTGGCAGAAGGGTCCATTTCCTGGTTCTAGATGGCCATTTTGCTATAATCTCAGATGGTGGAAGGGGCAAGAGATCTCTGGGGATTTGACCTTTTATAAAGGTGCTAATCCCATGTTATAATGACTATAATAATTATAGACATATATGCATCTAACAACAGAGCCCCAAAATATATGCCATAAAAACTCACACAGTAGAGAAGAGAAATAGACAATTCAACAACGATAAGTGGACTTTGATATCCCACTTTCAATAATGGGTAGACAGCTAGGCAGGAGTTCGTCAAGAAAACAAGACTTACACAATGCTATAAGCAACTATACGTAACAGTACTCTGTTAGGTGTACACCTGACTACATCTATACTATGCTGTCTTCAACAACAGCAGAATATACTGTCTCTTCAAGTGCACATGCAACATTCTCGAGGTTAGACTATATGTAACCTAAAACAAGACTCAATACACTTAAAATAATTAATTAGACAAAGTATGTTCTCCAGAATGTAATGAAATTACAAATCATAATAGGAAGAAATTTGGGAAATTCACAAATACGTAAAATTTAAACAACACATTTTTAAATAACCAATGTGTCAAAGAGGAAATCATGAGGGAAATTAGAAAATACTTTGAGATAAGTGAAGATGAAAACACCATGACATAACCTATGGAACACATCTAAACCAGTGCCTAGTGGAAAATTTGTAGCTGTTAATGTGTGTATTTAAAAAAGAAGATGGATCTCAAATCAATCACTTTACCCTTCCCCTGTTAAGACATTGGAAGAGGAGAGCAAACTAAACCTAAATCAAGCAGAAGGAAGGAAATAGCAAGAACTAAAGCGAAAACAAATGAATTTGAGAGTTGAGCAGAGAATAGAGAAACAACAAAACGGGAGGGGATTTTTTAAAAAGATTGCCAAGGTGACAAATCTCTAGCTAGACCGACCAGAGAAGGAAAGAGATGGAAGACTCAAATGACTAAAATCAGGAATGAAGGAAGGATATTACTACTGACCTTACAAAAATAAAAAGGATTATAAGGCATATTATAAGCCATTACATGCAACAAATTATATGACTTAGATAAAATGAACACATTCTTAGACACAAGCCACTGAAGTCAACTTAATAGATTATCTGAATATACTATAATAAGTAACAATATTGAATTAGTAATAAAAATATTTATCACAAAGAAAACCCAGGGCAAGATGACTTTACTGGTGAATTTTATTAAGCATTTAAGGAAGAATTAACACCAATACTCCACAAATTTTTCTAAAAAATAGGAGAGACCAATTCCCAATTCACTCTATGATACAAGTATTACCCTGATACCAAAATCAAACAAAGATAAGAAAAACTACAACCATCTCTTAGGAAAATAGATATTAGTACAAAAATTCTCAACAAAAGTCCAGCAAATGGCATCCAGTAGCCTATGAAAGGAATTATACATCATGACTAAGTGGAATTTACTTACGAATGTAAGGTTGTTTCAATATATGAAAACCAATCAATATAATACACCATGTCGATAGAATAAAAGTCATAGTGTTCAGTAAGGATAGCTGCTATTATTGCTATTTTTCTTAGTTCTCCATTCACTGCTTACCCATGTTTTAAAATATAGCAGCAGTTACAACTCTTATGATATATGATTTAAACAGCATTCTGTTCTTGAGACTGCGGAGTAATTGCTATAATGTATGTTTGCAAGGTGGAAAAACATATTTGGTTTGCAAATTTTCACTGTCCTGAAAATTATGAGGGAAGAAAATTTGAAGTGTGTTTGCCTAGGTGAGGCTTTTTCCACTGAATGGCTGGTGGAATTTCTAGACTTCCAAGTTTCAAGGTTCATTTCTATGGATGGAATGTGTCCTGATGTGTTTACAGTACAGTTGAGAGATTGATTCAGAATCTCAGCCTCCTTTGTGACCTCAGACAGTGAAGAAAGTTCCTCAGAGATCCCTAGCCTGAATGAAACCCCATTTTTTTTAATCCACAAGCATTTAGAATCCTTCATGATACCTAAGGGCTTATAAAAGGAGTGCTCTATTGCATAATATTCCAGGTTGGAGATGTAGGATGTTAATAGATTAAAATACAGGGGCCGAGCGTGATGGCTCATGCCTGTAATCCCAGCACTTTGGGAGGCCGATGTGGGCAGATCACGAGGTCAGGAGTTCGAGACCAGCCTGGCCAACATGGTGAAACCCCCGTCTCTACTAAAAATACAAAAAAATTAGTGAGGTATGGTGGTGCATGCCTGTAATCCTAGCTACTCAGGAGACTGAGGCAGGTTAATTGCTTGAATCCAGGAGGCAGAGGTTGCAGTGAACTGAGATCATACCATTGCACTCCAGCCTGGGCAACAGAGTCTCTGTCTCAGAAAAAAAAAAAAGGCAGGGAAAAGAAATAATCAGGTGAAGATATGTTATTAATAGACGAATACTCCCAAATATCTGTTTCTAAGGAAAAATCTTTTAAAAAACAGAGATAATTAATCCCTGGGAGGGCTAAGCCTTACATATAATGATAGATCCTTTAATGTTCTCAGTATCTTCTCTAAACACTATGATTCAAGAGAAGCTGTTTTTCTTATTTTAAAGGCTGAACAAGACAGGTGGTGGTGTTAGAATATTTGTGTACCTTGTTCTATGATATAGATCTAGATGCCAGAGAAGACCTGGAGATTCTCTTCAATAACTAAGGACTTTGGGATTCAAACTCAACTAACATTCTCTTTCCCTTTAACTTGAACTTCAAAGGCACTGGAGCTTTGAAAATGCTTGTGGAATCCATTTGGAGAAATTGCTGTCATCTTGACATTCTGTGCTTTTTGTAAAATTGTCCAGTCAGTGGAGTCTTGGGTATATACATTACATAACATGCTGTTTGAACAGGTACATATAATGATTACTTCGTATTTCTGAATACACTGGCCACTCTCCTAAACTATAGAGGCAATCACAGTAAGTTATTTTTAATCCAGTTCCTTACATTTCTTCTTTCTCCCAAGGGGTTTATAATTAAAATAATTAAAGTATTACATCTGATATTTGATGGACAATAACTTCTAAATGTTTTAGGAAAATTTGCAGAAATATTTATTCTCCTCACTGTGTATTGATATAACTACAATTTATCAGGAAAAGGTTAACATTTTATGGATTCCTGAGTCAATTTCTAGGCTTTTAAGTGTGAAGAGAATGCAGTAGGTGGATGGGTCACTAAAGGTTTCCTCCAGGTGTAGGGCATATGATGTAATGATTTATGTACATAAACAGATTGGCTTTTGTACCATCACTCATTTCCTTGAAATAATTCTATAACTTTGAAAGTCTCCAGGGATGAAAAAGACGTAAAATTTCACCTTGTACTAGTAGGAGGAGGTTTGAGAAACAACTGAAAATAAAGAAAGGCAAATATAAAGTAGAGCTGACAGGGTATGTGACCATCCCTGAGCTCAGGACAGGTCAGTATGGGAGGGAAGAGAAGGAGAGAATTTGGATTCTGTTTTTCAAAGAAAAACTTCAGCTCTAAGACTGGAATCCAAAAGGCAAATGCATTAAAATACAGGATCTGCAAGTAAAGAGTGTACCCTCTGCTGTAATTGGGAATCTATGTTAAACTGCAGGCTTAGGGGTATTTTTTATTTTGATTCTATTCATGTGTTCTCAGATACTGTTTTAACCAAGTGAGAACTTGTTTCTTTTACAATGGATGTAGTCTCATGGCTGAATTTCTGTATCTCTGAACTCAGCCCTCTTTCTTACACAATCAAGACAGGTATTGGAAAAGATAAGACATGAAAGTTAATTTTGTCACTGTAGGGTGATTTTTTCCTTGTCTACACTCGTATTAAGGTATGTTAAGGAAAGCCAGATGTGATGGAAAAACCTCACTGTGTTGGGCCGGCGTTATTAGACCTGGACTTTCTTATTATTCTCTGCCACAAATAAATTAGCTGTGTTTTCTTGGACGTTACCTCTTGAGACTTCAGTTTCTTCATCTTTAAAGTACAGACAAGTTGATGCAGTGCAAGATGCCTGAGGATTTTTAATGTGTAACAATTCTAGAGTCTTGTCCAGTTGGACCGTTGAACTCATTACATCTGACTCTGCATTTCTTAGCTTAGTAAAAGGAATGCCACTAATTTCTTATGGTCACAGGTGATAGCTTTGGGTACTGGTCCACTTGTCCAAACTCTGGCACTGCTGAGTCCCAGAAGTAAACTGGACTGATACTAGAGAAGCACTGGTTAAGTGCTAAAGAGCTAGAGGCAGACATCTTATGCTTGAATACAGTCTTCTCTCTTTTCTTTTTTAAACTATAATTTTGGGTAAGCTGTTTTTCTTTTCATCACAGTTTACTTTTCTTTAAAATATGGATAATTGTGTACCAACTTCATTGTTGTGAGAATTAAGTGAAAAAATGCATGTAAAGCATTTGCTGTAGCACCAAGTATATGGCAAGCACTCAATAAAATGAACAATTATTATAGGAAGTACAGAGTGTAAAAATAAATCTCTGCATGCTAGAAAGTAAGAATGGGGAAAAGCAGAGTTATAGTAAAAGTTTGCATTTCAAAATGAGTACATGAAATTTAAAAACTAACAAAAGTTTCTCTGTTTGGGAAGAAGTTGGTTTATGTCCTGACCTCTCAATTGCAGCCTGAGGGCCCTTTTACGGGATATCAAGGTCTTTCTTCTGGGTTGACACTTTTCTCTATTTCTAATTTCTGTAAAAATATGGGTATTAGAGGATTGGTATTTGGCACACTATTGGTATTTGGACTAGGAGAGAAAAAGAAACTGATCCTGTGCTTGAGTCTCCCAATTAACAGTGAACATTAAAGACGTCAATTTTGACATGAGACTGAGTTCTGTTTGTATGTTTGTGGTCTGTAGGGAAATAGGAAGGAGATGAAAATTACAAAAAAGAACTGTTCTTTAAATATATTCTAATTACTTCAAGATATGCAAGAAATTGAGCTACTAAGTGAAATAATGAAAATGAATGAGTCAAGTTTGGGGTTTTCTGTCTGGTTTTGATCAGGAAGTTTAACCTTTGACGTAGATCTTCAGGAAGTTCTACAAACATTAGTTGATTGTTGGTTCTCTCAAAGGCCATCTCCTCTAGGGAAAAGTTGGCAATTAGAAGTGCATTCAACCTTATTCTCAAGAGTTCCTGTGCCTGAAAGGATTCTCTGGAGCACTGGGCTATCCAGAAGGGAGACCATGATCCTGGAGCTTGGAGCTTTTAGGCCAGCTTCTCAGTAAAGCATTTGTGGGATCATCAGGAAGATGTTACCTTTTCATGCACCTCATCAGGTGTCATACCTATATGTAACAGGGGCAATTCATCTTAGCCGTCACTGCCTTTGTGCTTTAAGATCACATAAAGATTAAAAAAAAATTGAAATCTAGGAAAAAGTGAGAATTAATAATAGTAAAACTTAGTTTTAAGTACCGTCTTAAAGTTAATTGAATGAAATGTACGTTCTTCATTAAGTAAATGAAAATGGACTATGTATTAAACAGATTATCATTGATTATTCAGATTTGACTTATTGACTATTGTATCTATGGTATAAAACCAGAGATCAAAAATCTTTGACTGGTAGACTAAAAATTATATTAGGAAGATTCTAAAAGGTCTATGGGCAGTCATGGCAGCCTTATCCTCGGTCCTGATCCTCTCAGAGCAGTTAGGGTCCAGTCAGGCTCTCTCCCTATGTCCATTTGGTGACTTGGTGACAAAAATTTCATGAGCATGTTACAGCAACTATATCCAGATATTTCCTGGATTCCCATCATGTACCAGTGTATAATTCCCTATATTTGTTTTTCTGCATATTCTGCTCAATTTAAACATTCATGATTTCAGCCTCAGGACTCCAAGAAAAAAATAGAAACTGTATTTCTTTTCTGACTATACAATTAATTATGCAAACTTTAGAAAATACTAAAAAACATAAGGAAATAAAAATCGCCCTTAGCTTCACATCCGGAAGTAAATGTCCTAAATATATTATTTCCTTATCAACTTTTTGTACACATATGTTTTAACATAGGTAAAACAAAACCTGCGTAAGGTTTTATAAGTGAAATTTTTGAACTTAAATTTTATTAACATATACATATAAAACCTATAATCTTAAAATACTGAATCTATAATTATTATCGCTAACTTTTAACCTATAGAATTCTTACATAATTATAATTAAGATATACAGACTATTTTGTGGTTTTTTTAGTTCATGTCATTTCATATATACATTTCAGAGTCTTATAGTCTCCCAAACTATTACCTCTAATGACTGCATTAATTCATCATATTGATGTCCAAGTGAAGTTTTGCAGCAACTACCCTCTGGGAACTGAAATCTGTCTCTTCAGTGTGTCCTATGTCTTCTAAGAATATTTTTGAGGTCAGGCTAATTAAAAACTAAGAAGTCAGCTAAAGAAGTTTACAGATATCTTAAAAATCATGTGTTTGGGGGAATAAAAAAGAAAAGAAGTTTATAGGTATCTCTTCCTAGGGAGTTTTCGGAAAAGAAGGAATCATCTGTGAGATGGCAGCATACTGAAAAGGCAAGGTTTCAGACTATTTGATTATATCATGCTTCTTCTTTTTCCTTTCATTTTTCTAAAGGTAAAATATTCCTTCCTGGAGGTTTTATCACCCACACTACATAGATGGAGAATAAAAGGAATGTGACTGAATTCATTTTAATAGGTCTTACACAGAACCCCAAAATGCAGAAAGTCATGTTTGTAGTATTTTTGGTTCTGTACATGATAACACTTTCAGGCAATCTGCTCATTGTGGTTGCCATTACCACCAGCCAGGCTCTGAGTTCCCCCATGTACTTCTTCCTGACCCACCTTTCTTTGATAGACACAGTTTATTCTTCTTCTTCAGCTCCTAAGTTGATTGTGGATTCCCTTCATGAGAAGAAAATCATCTCCTTTAGTGGATGTATGGCTCAAGCCTATGCAGAACACATTTTTGGTGCTACTGAGATCATTCTGCTGACAGTGATGGCCTATGACCGCTATGTGGCCATCTGCAAACCTCTGCATTACACAGCCATCATGAGCCACAGTCTGTGCATTCTCCTTGTGGCAGTTTCCTGGATGGGAGGATTTCTCCATGCAACTATTCAGATTCTCTTTATAGTATGGCTGCCCTTCTGTGGCCCCAATGTCATCGACCACTTCATGTGTGACTTGTACCCTTTGTTAAAACTTGTTTGCATGGACACTCATACCCTTGGTCTCTTTGTTGCTTCCAACAGTGGGTTCATCTGCTTATTAAACTTCCTTCTCTTGGTGGTATCCTATGTGATCATCTTGAGATCTTTAAAGAACTATAGCTTGGAGGGGAGGCGTAAAGCCCTCTCCACCTGTATCTCTCACATCACAGTAGTCGTCTTATTCTTTGTGCCCTGTATGTTTGTGTATCTGCGCCCAGTGACCACTCTGCCCATTGATAAAGCTGTTGCAGTATTTTATACTATGGTGGTCCCAATGTTAAATCCTTTGATCTACACACTCAGAAATGCTGAGGTAAAGAGCGCAATAAGGAAGCTTTGGAGAAAAAAGTGATTTCAGGTAATGATTAAATAAGACTGTTGAGCACTCAGCATAGAGGTAATAGGTATCTAAACTTCTTGATTTGTAGATGAATATATTGACTCTAACAAGGGTTTGGATGATGTTGCAGATAGTCCCTAAAGCATAAAGCAAAAGTTTGGACTTTAAAGCTTACTGTTCTCTTATTCCATACTCCTGTCATCCCCACTATTGCTTTTTAATCAGTATGTATTCATCAATTGCCTGGAAATTTGAAACATCTCTAGTTGTTAAAAAGTATAAATGTAGAATATTACATTGACGTTGAAACAATCTTATGGTATAATGAGCTGTTGGTTACTGCTGATTATTGAAATTTACATGTTTAATAATATTTCTTTGCTTTGGACTCTGGCTTAATATATACACACTTTTGTAAATTTTCTTGGTCACTATACATTGGTCATATTGTAAAAAGATGTACTGTTCATCAAATGCCTGCAAGGTTGCATTATATTAAGTTTTCCACACTGTATCAGTTAGGGATCACACAACTTCCCTGATTTGAGCAGTGAAAATTTATATAAAATTATTAATTATATTGAGGGATTAACTATAAAGAAGTAAAGAATGCCCTGTGACTGAGAAAGGAACACATTCAGGGCTGGGTGCTGTGGTTCACGCCTATAATCCCAGCACTTTGGGAGGCTGAGGTGAGTGGATCACAAGGTCAGGAGATCAAGACCATCCTGGCCAACATGGTAAAACCTTGACTCTACTAAAAATACGAAAATTAGCTGGGCATGGTGGCACGTGCCGGTAATCCCAGCTACTTGGGAGGCTGAGGCAGGAGAATCACTTGAACCAGGCAGTTGGAGTTTGCAGTGAGCTGAGATGGCGCAACTGCACTCCAGTCTGGCAACAGAGCAAGATTCCATCTGAAAAAAAGAGAAAGGAACACATTTGGGAGCTGGGCTCCTTTCCTAAGGCTGAGATTTCAATATTTTGGAGAAAGTGTAGTTGTTGCCAATTGGATGTTGGAGAAGTTCACTGGGTAGTCTTGGGCCAGAACTTGTTCATGGTAGCTGGACAGAAGCTGACACACAAGAAAGTTGTCTGGGACTGGCCAGCTGGGAGCCTCCCATTGGGATGCTGGTAAATGAGGAACTGTAGCCTGGACCTGTAAGCAGGAAACAACCCTCTGGGGTGTAGGTGGACCAAGGCTACCCCATCACTGATAGGCAGTTTTGGAAAACTGATTGCTGGAGTATCTGTGTGATTCATTGGAATCTCCCTGAAGAGGTACCACTGAAACTCAATGAGAAATTGTCCATGAAGTTGTCAGTGAAACTCAATGGAAGTGAGCACCTCTGAATGTCTCTCTCTCCCCCTGCCCTGCCCAGCCAAACACACATGCTACTGGAAGCTACATACGGCAAGATGAAAACAGAAACATTTAAATCAGGAAGACATGCCCCTTTCGATTCCCTATACTGACAAAACTTAACATCAAAGCAGACTATGTGCAGAGAATAAATTCTTACAGGGCTTATTTTCATTACGGAGCAGGCAATGAAGGTTGTATTTGGAGCTGAGAGGCAATACATTGATAACTAGCACTCAAATTTCATCCTTAATTCTTATAATACATTTTACAGGATATTGATGTGCATATATGTTGCATGATTTGACCAAACCTCAAGTTAGTGGCAGAATGAGATATAAACTGACATATGGCTCCTTATTCTACATACTTTGTTGGTAGTAGGTAGCTGCAACTATCTTTTTTATTGTAAAGCCTAAAAATGAACACAATTTATTAAATGATTCTGTATAAACTGTTATAACTTCATTTAATTTTACTATTATGCACTGGAATCTGATTAATCCTTTCACTGAAGATAGACAGAGAATGAACAATTACCCAGAAGTGGTTTTATAGAAAAAATTTTAACATTGTTATTTAAACTTTTTTTTTTTTTTTTTTTTGAGACAGAGTCTTACTCTGTCACCTAGGCTGAAGTGCAGTGGCACAATTTCAGCTCACTGTAACCTCCGCCTCATGGGTTCAAGCGATTCTCCTGCCTCAGCCTCCTCAGTAGCTGGAACTACAGGAGTGTGCCACTATGCCTGGATAATTTATATAATTTTAGTAGAGATGGGTTTTTGCCATGTTGGCCATGCTGGTCTCAAATTCCTGAACTCAAGTGATCCGTCTGCCTTGGCCTCCCAAAGTGCTGGGATTACAGGTGTGAGCCACCGCGCCTGGCTTATTTAAACTTTTAAGTAAATTTTCATGATTTGGCAATTGTACTACTCTTCAAAGCATAAAGATCTAGTTTCTGCTCCTCTATCAAAAGGTGTATGGTGGGTCCCCAGGCATTAGACTTTGGCACGAGAACGGGAACAGGAATATGTAGAAAGGTAAAGTTATGAGAAAATCTGAGATCATAGCATCCAAGGACAAAACCAGAACTGATATCCAAAGGTGATTGAAATTTCAATCTGGCAGAAAGGCAAAATCACACGTAAGTCACCAAGACAGGTACCTGCCTCAAGCTACCCAAGAAAGTTTAGATGGTGGGTAGAAGACGGATCCAGGAGAGATCCCTGGGACACAACTCTGGAGTGTCTTTTGACTCATTCTAGAGTAGTGAAGAAATTAATAAAGATGAACAGACAGTTTGAATAGAAAGGTTGTCAATGAAGCTGGTAATGCTCGTTAAAACTTTCATAAGGGTTCCCCACTGAGCATATGCAGGTGGCCTTAGAGATGATCATTAGATAAACAGCCTTAGTAAAGATGACTTTACTCATTCTCCATTCCCGTTTGTATCCCGCAATCTGTGTTCCTCAGACCACCATGCCTCAACTTCCAGCTCTACCATCCATATCCAGCTCATTCCTGAATGTTTCTGTACTTTGACTTAGCATCAATAATTCCATCAACTGTCATAGAGAAGCCAAACTACACTTAATGTATTATGCTTTTCATGAACAGTTTGGATTTAGAAAGATATTAATCACAAATAGTAGAATCTTTTTTTCTTGGTATAATCCATTGTATGTATTAAAAAAATTTTTTTGCCATAAGTTACTGGGGTACAGGCAGGTGGTATTTGGTTACATGAGTAAGTTCTTTAGTGGAGCTTTGTGAGATCCTGGTGCGCCTATCACCGGAGCAGTATGCACTGCACCAGACTTGTTGTCTTTTACCCCTCAACCCCCTCCCACTCTTCTCCCCAAGTCCTCAAAGTCTATTATATCATTCTTATGCCTTTGCATCTTCATAGCTTAGCTCCCACATATCAGTGAGAGCATACGATGTTTAGTGTTGCATTCCTGAGTTACTTCACTTAGAATAATAAGACAGGTATTCGTATCTTTACAATAAAAAATCAACTACATATTATAAAATAATTATATCACATAATTTAATTTCTAATATTTCTTTGCTTTATTGAAGTAATACTGACAAACAAAAATTGCATATATTTCAAGTATGCAATCTGTTTTGATATATGTGTACACTGTAAAATGATTACCACAATCAAGCTAGTTGACGTAGCTCTCACCTCACATGGGTAGTTTTTTTTGGGGGGGGGTAAGATTTAAGATCTATTCTCTTAGTAAATTTCAAGTATACATTACATTATTAATATTAACTATAATCACCGGGCTGTACATTTGATCTTCAGAACTTTATTCATCTTGTTGAACTGAAACTTGGCACTTTTAGACCAACATCTCTCCATTACGCCCATTCCTCCAACCCCTGCCAACCACTATTCTGCCTCTATGCCTTGCCTCCAGGTCTTATTTCTGAGGATAGGTCCTAGGATCACCTATGTGTGTAATATTTAATACTACATTGAGACTTGAACATGATTCAACATATTTGGACCCTCATTAATCTTCTCTGTCTCCCTGCCATCCAGTGATCTAAGCCAGGGCCCAAGTTTCATCCGTGACTTCTCTCTCTTTCATCTCATCCTATATCAAGTTCTTTTGTTTAGAATTCAAAAATATTCTTTGAAATCTTCTATATCTCTCCATATTAGTTTGATTTCCCTAGATTCGGAAGATATGAGAATTTTAATAAAAGTGCTCTATAAGGGGAAAAGATTGAAGGAAATCTTCTATAGCAGGGGAAGGAAGGATGTGCTGTCAACTAGTCTTCCTTTAGCCTGGAGCCCTGGGAGCTCTGAGGTATACATTATACTACAGAGCTGCTTTCACCTTGAGACAAAGTAACTAACCTCTTGAACCCGATTCCAGTCAGTCATCCCTGGTGGGCCTGAGGAGGGTGAACAAAATACCCCAAATGATGCAGCTCCCATTTTATCTGGTGCAATTGTCCAGAAAAGGGTAAGGCTGTGAGCTTTTAGCAGCTGAGGCACACAGTAGCTGGGGCATGCATGCACTGGCCTGGTGAAGGGGATTTGAGTTGGACACAATAGTGTCCACCATGCTCTGTGTCCTCACTGACAACACCAGGACTGAGGCCTCCAGCCTTTCACACTGAAATAATGACAAAAACCCCTAGGTGCTCTCCTGCTTCCAGTCTTGATCCTTCAATCCATTTCACATCCTGTAGTTAGGATTATCATTATAAAGTTAAAATCTAACTGCGTCACTCTCTAGCTTAAAAATACCTTCCTTGCTTTCTCCCGTGGTCCTTAGCATTAAGTCTTAACACAACTATAAGACCCCTCTTGATATTCTCTTTTCCTGTCTCTCTAGCTTCATGTCTTACAGTTTACAAGATTTTATAAGTTCAGTGTCTAGCATGGAGCCTGGCACACAGTTGGGGTTCAGTAAATAATTGCTGAATGAATGGGTGAATTACTAATCATGGCCATATTGTACCGACTAGGTTTCCCGCATACTCTTTTCATTTTCTGGCCTTTGTTATGTGTTCTCTTTCCTAGAAGCACTGCTCTCAGCTTCATTCCTATTCATCCTGCTGAGTCCTTTTCATCCTTCTGGTCCCATTTTTGATATCTTTTCATCTAGGAATCCTTTTATAACCCCTCAGGTCTGTGTGTCTTCTCTTTCGCTCATTTCTTAATGAATCTTCAGCTCTCTGAAGGCAGGACCTGGGTTTCTCTTTATTCACCACGGATGCCCTAGCAATTTTCAGTGTACCTGATGCATTCCTTGGGCTCAAAATGTTGTTAATCAATGAACAAGAAATAGAAGGAACGAATGAAGAATATTTATTCTGAAATGGCTTTGGGTGTAGACAGAGCTACATAGTCATAAAAACAGTTTTTATCTTGTGAGGTGCTGTGGGAGTGGGGCCTACAGATCCAGGCAGCTTGGCCTCCTGGATTCAGCCCCCTTCCTAGGGGTATGCAGGGACCTCCCACCTTGCCTGAGTTGCAGACATGTTTGTTGGGGACCCTCAGGCCAGAGTTTGTAAAGCTCCTGGGTCTCTGTGTGTGCCTGAGCAGCTGCTCTGTGGAGACTCCGCACAGCTCTGTGTGTAGGGCTCAAGGCCCTGGTGGTCTGGGCTCACGAGGGGATTGCCTGATCTGCGGGTTGCAAAGATCCATGGGAGAAGCATGGTTTTCCGGGGTTGCATATTCACTCATCGCATTGTGGGGGTTCCCTTGGGTCGCTGTTGCTCCTCGGTGGGCCATACCCCTGTACTGCTTTTCTTCATTCTCTGCGGGTGGAGTCGTTTCCCTGATCAGTCCCAAATGCGAGTACCCGAATCTTTCAGTTGAAGATGCTGTATTCACTTGTCCTTTTTTTCCCTCTCTGTGAGTGCCACGGACCTCAGCTGCTTCTAATTGGTGATCTTGGACCCCTCCCCAAAACAGCTTTTAATAATAAAATGTTACCAAAAAGTAAGCTGATTGACAGAGAAAGAGAACATAAATAGTGCATAATCATAAAATAAAATATTGCTGAAAGCAGAAAATTTCAAGATTAACTACTTGTTCACATGTTAGGAATTTGCTTCTATTTCTTTTGTATTCTTCAGCATAAGGAGTAAAAACAAAAGGTGGTTCCCCTAAGAAGTCCAGTTAGAATTCTCCTTAGTGCCTGAGTCAGGTAGGAAAGAATTTCCATCTCCAGTACTATTTTTTTTTAGTTCTACATTTTGTTGAATTCATTTACCTTTTTTAATACTTCTATTCATTCATTTGATGTTTATTGTGTACCAGACATTGTGCTACCTTGTGGCAATTATTGTTATCTAGTAGGCAAGCAGTTAATGGAACATGATTGTATATTTAACTAATAGAAATTTCTGCCTGAAATTCAAATGCTCTTTTATTGGAGTCATCACTCTTTCTGATGGGTTTTTACATAACATGGGTGACATGAGCAATACAAAGTGATTCAGAAACCTACACTGACATTTGGAAACATGATATAAACTTCATTACCTACCCATCAGGTTTTAAATGGCCCACTGCTATTACAGCCTTAAAGTGGTAGATACCCTAATGTTTCAGAAAACAAATGACCATCAATTATGATGTATAAAAAAGTAGAGTGATTAATACAAATTCTTATATTTTTAGTTAGATAATAAATGAATACATGCAATGTGCCTAGCATAGTCTCTGGTTCCAGAATGGTGAGTAGTATAATTAACTGACCTTTCATTATCACTCTGTGGCAAAATACCGTAGCAGTGAAGAGTATGGTCCGGAACATCAGTCACAGTTTGATTACTGGCTCGTTAATATATCTATTTTGATATCTTCCTTTTCCTGTCAGTTTCCTCACTTGTAAAATGAAGATAATAGTAGTGCTTACCTCTTTGAAGTGTTCTAGACGTTACTTCTAGGTACCAATATATTCTGTTATTTCTTTTGTTTGTGAGTGGAAAACCTGTGAATCTGTGTAGAGGATGAAGCTAGTAAAACCAAGCTCCAACTTGGTAGAATTTCCCAAATAGGCAGAGTTGTCCTAGGTCGTTTTCTCTCTTTCCTTGAGCTGTTTCTATACCCTTCCATGCAGAATCTATGAATCATACGGGCATTGTTTTCTTTATCCAATCAATTTGCCCCACTGCGGTTATCTAAAATGTCCTTTTGACCTTTCCTAAATGGAATCAATGTTGGGCCCTAGTTACATTTATTTGTCACCTGAAATGCCCTTTCTACTACACAGTTTCTGAATGGCATTTTTCATCTGAGCATTCCTCAAGGTATAGATTAAGGGGTTTAACATAGGAGTTACCATAGTGTAGAATACAGCAACTGCTTTATCAACAGATAAAGTAGCTGCAGGTCTCATGTACACAAATATGCAGGGCACAAAGAATAAGACAGCAACTGTGATGTGGGAGACACAAGTGGAGAGGGCTTTGTGCCTTGCCTCCAAGCGGTGGGTCCTTAGGGAGCGCAAGATAACCACATAGGAGATCAGCAGGAGGACAAAGTTTAACAAGCAGATGAATCCACTGTTGGCAGCAACGAAGAGTCCTAGAGTGTGGGTGTTAGTGCAGGCAAGATTGAGCAAAGGGTTCAGATCACACATAAAGTGATCTATGACATTAGGACCACAGAAAGGTAATTGGAAGATGAAGAGGATCTGTATGGTTGCATGAAGAAAACCTCCCATCCACACCACTCCCATTAGCAGGCTACACACACACGCCGGTTCATGATAGTCATATAGCGCAGGGGCTTGCAGATGGCCACATAGCGGTCATAGGCCATCACAGTAAGTAGGATGCCCTCCGCACCTCCGAAGAAATGTTCTCCAAAGACTTGAGTCATGCATCTGTTGAATAGGATGGTCTTCTTTTCATAGAATGAATCTGTGATTAGCTTAGGGGTATTTACAGAGGAATAGCAGGCATCAATAAAGGAGAGATAGGCCAGGAAAAAGTACATGGGGGACCCCAATGATGGGCTGGCAGTGATGGTGACCACAATGAGCACATTTCCCACCACAGTGATGATGTAGATGACAAAAAACACAACAAATGTGATTTTCTGCAACTTTGGATTCTCTGTAAGCCCCAGTAGAACAAACTCTGTCACGTATATTCCTATTCTCCATGTATTTCATGTGATGATTAATTACATTACCTGAAAAAAATTTTTTATTAATAAAACTTGGAATTTATTACACATCTCCATTTTAACAAATAATAAATGCTTGAATTTTATTGAACTGTAAATCCTTATAAGGTTTTTCTTGAGGCGTTAATAAATTTTCAGTTTCTCAGTACTTGAAGATTACTTGGTGAAGACTCTGTTAAGAGTATAGCCATGAGGAACTCTTGTGAACAAAGTCAGGATGTAGTCGGTTACTCAATCATCTGGGATGCCTAACAGTCTGATTTGAAGTAGCAGATTGGATACACAGCAGCAGCTAAACCTGAAAAGGGAGATTGATGATGAATTTAAAGGCCATGGTTGTAAAGCTAAGGAATTTGCCCTTTATTCTTTAGGAAACAGGGAACATTGGTAGGTTACTGTGAATATGAGTGGGAAGACAAAGAAGAATTTGAAGAGTAGGAATCTTGGAATATCCTGCTAGTAAAAGTCTTTGTGTGTCTTGGATGAAGTGGGCTGAGGTTAGCCAGAGAAAGGAATCCCAGTGGGCAGAGTATTTAGAGTACTTGACATAAGAAGTAACTGGGAGTTGGTGACAGAAATGTAAAAAAAGGATATAAGAGCTACTAAAAGAATTCATAATGCTTATTGTTGAAATCTAACTTTATAATAGCAAATATCATATGCCTTTTAATAGTTAATTGCCTTGCACAAGACATAGTAGTACTTTGCACACATGATTCCAGTGAACATTTATTTCATCCTAGGTAGTTGGTATTATTTCATCAATTTTTCAGATAAGGCAGCAATATTAGAGACTGTTAATAGTTATGTTAACATGATGATATTTATATTGCACAAAATATGGTATTTATGTTAACATACTACTCATGGTTATAATATTGATAATATTAACTAAAACATACTGAGCATTAGTGTCTTCTAAATGTTTTTTGCAGGCAGTCACAAAATAAACCCAGAAAATAGCACTATCATTTTTATACGAATTTTATATATTAGGAAATAGAAGCATAGGGAAGTTAAAGATCCCATCCAAGATCAAACAGTTTAATAAAGGGCATAGCCAAGATTAGTCACATTATACGAGTTATTTTTTTCTCCCCAAATTCTGAGCCCTATGTTGTTATAATAAACAATGTTGAACTAATAATCTCCTTTTGATATGACCATTATGATTATAATTACTTTAATACTCCTTCAGAGGCAATTTTATAGGGCAATTTCATTAGCAGCAACCCCCTGCCCCACCCACAACACAGTGACATCTTTGAACTCTCAAATATTAAGAAAAATATGGTATTGAATCATTGAAGGTACATCTATTGTAGCTTCTCCCCAAGTCCCAGCTCTTTCCTCAACACCACCCCACACCAAATCATGGGACCCCAGACTCTTGGGCAAAATGTTGATAATGACAGTTACAGTGGCCAATTATATTAGATTTAGAATTAGAAATATATTTGATTAGAATCATTGTTTTTCCACTTGCAACTTTTTAAAGGCAGAGCACGTTTCTCGGCACCTTTCATGTTGTTTCCTCGTCTATAAAGTGTGAATAGCAACATCATCTTACAGGTTGTTATGAAAATTGATTGAGGGAACATATAAGAAAACATCTACCACAGTGCTGTGGATGCACATAGGACTTTCTTTACTTTTATAAGTGTGTATACAGCTAGGAGGTAGGAAGAATTGATCATTAGAACAATAAACAGAGTCATTATCCATGCAATAACCTCAGGAAGAATAATCACCAACATTACTCTTAAAGAAGCCACAGTGTCTCATATTGTCTGTAGCAGTTGATTCCAGGGAGGATTCTTCATGTTAGTGCTTGGACTAAACAGCTACAGGACTATGCCATTAGTGTTCATATTTATGTCCTTTGTGTATATGACGTGTGTTTAAATTTTATTTTCATCTTCATGGCTAGTCTTATTATTAAAGGGGTATCTCATGGCAGAAGCCTAGTACCCAGTGTCGGAGAGCTGGGTCCTACAAATTGCTTAATTTCTAAGATCCTCAAAATTTTCAATTGTCAAATTAGGCGAATTATATTTACTATCTTTTGAAAAATTTGGATAAGGATGAAAGACTCTATTTGTTATGTTTGAGATGTTGAAAAATAACGATCACTGACTACGTAAAGTAATAGTGGAAAACTTACCTTAGTAGCCTTAGTAGTTAGATGATCTTAATGATGTTTGGAAGTGTTCAGAAAGAATCCTCTTCAAGCTGATCTTCTCTTTAGTAAGTTTTAGTGTGAAAGATTGGACAATCTTTGGAAATAGCCTATTCAGATAATTCAATGTTAAATCAACAGTTGTTAAGAAGCTGTATACATTAAATGTGTAGTTTTTTGGTATATCAGTTATAATTCAATAAACCAAGTGTTCTTATAAGTATAAATCTTTTTATCTGGCCTAAGTCCCAAAAATTTTCACAGAAAATTTGAATTAAATGCAACTTGAATTAAAATGGATTCACTGGAAACACCATGAAGAATTGATTATCTGTTGCTGTGGTTCCACAGTGCAAGAGGCTGAAGGTGGGGGGGAAACAGCTATAAATGGATCACTTTGCCCATGATTAATCTTGCTGTGGATAAGTGAACAAGAAAAACGTTTCTGTATTGCATTGCATGAATATTTAAAGAAGTTTCCATAAAGATTCAGGGATCTTTTTTTATAGCTGCTGCTTTCTGTCCTAGGAATTAATTATCTCCTTTGATGGAAAGACTTTGGCACAGAAGCAGTATTCTGGAGAGAGATGTTTGGGGAAAAAAAACAAAAAACAAAAAACACAACAGTTCCTGAATGAATGATTTCATTCCTTACACTTGGAACCTAGTACTATGAGTCCTCTTTCTCTATCTGAACCTGGGTTGTTAAGCATGCTGAATGCTATGTGAGTAGCAAGGTAGTGTAACTTGTATGTGGACCTGTTATATAGTTTCTCTGTTGATACATGTCACAGGAAGCTTCTATTTAAAAAAAAAATCAACATTACACCTTTTCCTGGAAACATGCTATTAATTGCTTGAGATCTAGAGCAGTGAGGGCATGAAACTAATTGTGGCCATTTAATTAATTTTAAATTTTAAATTTAAAAATATTTAATTGCAAAGATTGTATACATCCAAGGTGTACAACATGTTGATTTGATAGCTGTGTACATTGTGTAATAGTTATTATAGAAAATTAACACATACATTACTAATCATGATATACATGAGATCCTCAGAACTTATTCATCTTATGGATGAAAGATTGTTCTCTTTGGTAAGCAGATTCCCATATCCCTCATCCCCAGGCCCTGGCAACCATCATCCTACCATCATTCTCTCTGTTTCTATGAGTGTGACTGTTTTAGATTCTGCATATATGTGGGATTATACAGCATTTGACTTTTTTTAAATTGCATTTTAGGTTTGGGGGTACATGTGAAGAACATGCAAGATTGTTGCATAGGTACGCACATGGCAATGTGATTTGCTGCCTCTCTCCCCTTCACCTATATCTGGCATTTCTCCCCATGCAATCTCCCCCCAACTCCCCACCCTCTGCTGTCCCTCCCCTCTTTCCCCCCAACAGACCCCAGTGTGTGATGTTCCCCTCCATGTGTCCATGTGTTCTCATTGTTAAACACCTGCCTATGAGTGAGAACATGCGGTGTTTGCTTTTCTGTTCTTGTGTCAGTTTGCTGAGAATGATGGTTTCCAGGTTCATCCATGTCCCTACAAAGGACACGAACTGATTGTTTTTGATGGCTGCATAATATTCCATGGTGTATATGTGCCACATATTCCCTGTCCAGTCTATCATCGATGGACATTTGGGTTGGTTCCAGGTCTTTGCTATTGTAAACAGTGCTGCAATGAACATTTATGTGCATGTGTCCTTATAGTAGAACGATGTATAATCCTTTGGATATATACCCAGTAATGGGATTGCTGGGTCAAATGGAATTTCTATTTCTAGGTCCTTGAGGAATCACCACACCGTCTTCCACAATGGTTGAACTAATTTACACTCCCACCAACAGTGTAAAAGTGTTCCTGTTTCTCCATATCCTCTCCAGCGTCTGTTGTCTCCAGATTTTTTAATGATTGCCATTCTAACTGGCGTGAGATGGTATCTCAATGTAGTTTTGAATTGCATTTCTCTAATGACCAGTGATGATGAGCATTTTTCCATATGTTTGTTGGCCTCTCGTATGTCTTCTTTTGTAAAGTGTCTGTTCATATCCTTTGCCCACTTTTGAATAGGCTTGTTTGTTTTTTTCTTGTAAATCTGTTTTAATTCTTTGTAAATTCTGGATATCAGCCCTTTGTCAGATGGGTAGAATGCAAAAATTTTTTCCCATTCTGTTGGTTGCCGATTCACTCTAATGACTGTTTCTTTTGTCATGCAGAAGCTGTGGAGTTTGATTAGATCCCATTTGTCTATTTTGGCTTTTGTTGCCAATGCTTTTGGTGTTTTGGTCATGAAGTCCTTGCCTAC